GACCCTTCCCCAGCAGCTCCGTTGCCCTTCTCTGGCCACGCTCCAGCCCCTCAAGCCCCTTCTTGGGTTGAGGAGCCCAAACCTGACCCCAGGATTTGAGGTGCAGCCTCCCCAGTGCTGAGACACAGACACTCCTCTGTCCCCCAGGGTGCAGGACAGATCAGCCAAGGAGGTGCTGCTGGCACAGGACAGCTCCAAGGACTGGGAGTACTGGGCAGCCCTGACCCGTGTGATCCCTGAGCCCACCCTGAGGCTGTGGGATGCTCTGGCAGCAGCACTGGAGGGATACCAGTGAGTAGGGGCTGTGCTGCTGGGGACAGGGCAGGAGGTGGCTTGGCTGGGTGAACCTCAGTGATAGGGATTGACCTGCTGGAATGAAGCTTCATGGGAAGGACTTGGAGGTTCTGGGAGACAAGAAGTTCCCCGTGAGGCAGCAATGGGCCTTCATGGCCAAGAAGGTCAATGGTTTCCTGGGGTGCATGAAGAAGAGTGTGGCCAGCAGGTCAGGGAGGTTCTCCTGCCCCTCTGCTCTGCCCCAGGGAAGACATCTCTCAGGTACTGGGTCTAGTTCTGGGCTCCCCAGTTCCAGAGAGACCAGGAGCTACTGGAGAGAGTCCAGCAGAGGCTGGGAAGCTGCTGAGGGGCTGGAGCATCTCTGTGCCAGGCCAGGCTGAGAGCCCTGGGGCTGCTGAGCTGGAGGAGAGAAGCCTCAGAGGGGATCTGAGCAGTGCTGAGCAAGAGCTCAAGGGCCCCGGGGGGCAAGAGGCTGGGGCCAGACTCTGCTCAGTGGTGCCAGGGACAGGACAAGGGGCAACGGGCACCAACTGGAACCCAGGAGGTGCCACCTGAGCAGGAGGAGAAACTTCTCTGCTGGGAGGGTGGCAGAGCCTGGCCCAGGCTGCCCAGAGAGGCTGTGGAGTCTCCTGCTCTGGAGAGATCCCAAACCCTCCTGGCTGTGCCCCTGGGCACCCTGCTGGGGGTGAGCTGCTGGAGCAGGGGTGGGATGGGATGATCCCCAGAGGTCCCTCCCACCCCCATCATCCTGCTGGGATCCTGGCACTGACTGCATCAACCCTCTGCTCTCCTCACCCAGCAAGATCCTCATGCACAGGTCCAAGCTCCTCACTGAAGCCACCACCCTGCAGCAGCAGAACCTGGAGCTGTGCCTGCTGCTGGAGCAACACCTCAGCTCCAGGTAGGTCCTACACCCTCCTCCCCTCCAACCTGGGGACACCCCAGGGGGGGTTCCCAGACACGAGGAAGGGTCACCACTGCTCAGGGTGCTTCTCCCTTGCAGGTGAACCTCAAGCTGCTGTCCCTGTGCAGTGGATGGACCTGCAGTGAGCACCCAGGACCAGGACAAAGCTTTTCTCAGCCCTAATCTGAAGCTGGAGACCCTTAAACCCTTTTACTGCTCTCAGTGTTGCTGCCTCTATCCCCAAATTCTGCACGTCCAGGGTGGTATCAGCCCCTAGTGGAGCTGCCAGCAGAGTTATCTCCAGGAGGACCTTGTCACATCCATGATTCTCTCCCACCCTTTGGCTTCCCAGCAGTTTTATCTCCTTCCCAGTGCAGGCTTCCTGGCCAGCTTTATCTGTAGCCTTTCCTCCCACTGCCACGGTACAAACCCTTTCTCCTCCCACAGCAGAACATCAATATTTGGGTTATTTTGCTCACTGGGTGTCTGTGGCCTTGCCTTGAATTCACTTTTCTCCTTCTTCCCACCAGGGAATCCATCCAGCCTGGAGGGTTGGTGATCCCAGGGGACACACTGCTCCCAGGGATCCACAAATGCAACCAAAAAAAGGCCAAAATTGAGACAGTGGGAAGGAAAAAAAGGCCAAAATTGAGACAGGGGGAAGGATTTGGGGGCAGGGATGGGCACCACCCAGCTTGTGTCTGCCAGGCTCCCAGCACCACCGAGGTGCCAGCTCCTGGATCATCACATCCCAGGGTGGTTTGGGTGAGGAGGGGCCTTCCAAGGTCACCCTGTCCCACCCCTGCAGGGAGCAGGGACATCTGCAGCTAGAGCAGGGTGCTCAGAGCTCCATCCAGCCTGGTCTTGAGCACCTCCAGGGGTGGAGCATCCACAGCTTGCAGCCATCCACTCCAACCAGGGGCTTTGTCCCACCAGTGATGGCAACCAGGTCAGAGCCTCCTGGCAGCACCGTGGCTACCAGCTCCTCCTGTTGGTTGCCCACACTGCAGGGGTTGGTCCAGGGCCCCTTCAGCTGGGCTCTTGGCCGTGTCACCCTCTCAGAGGGACTCCCCTTCCTTCCTCTGAGGTGTTTCATTGGTGTTTCCTTGTCGGCTCCGATTACCTCAGGAGCTCCTGGATCATCTCCAGAAGATTTTGGGTGTGCTCCAGCGTGCCCAGCACGCCTCAGAACAACAGGCTGAGGGCCCACCCTGGCAGAGGGAGAGTTAGACTGGAGAGGAGGAAGAAATTGTTGCTGCTGAGGGTGTTGAGCCCCTGGCCCAGGCTGCCCAGAGAGGTGGTCGCTGCCCCATCCCTGGCACCATCCCAGGGGAGGTTGGATGAGCTCTGAGCACCCTGCTCTAGCTGCAGATGTCCCTGTCCCTGCAGGGGTGGGACTGGATGGCCTCAAAAGGTCCCTCCCAACCCAAACAAGTCTGATTCTGTAATTCTACTCTCTTTAGAGTCTCAGAATCATCCAATCACGTTGGTTGGAAAAGACCTCTAAGATCATCAAGTCCTCCCTGCTCTACCAGATCCACCTCTAACCACATCCCCAAGCCCCACATCTGCACAGCTTTTAAACACATCCAGGGCTGGGGACTCCATCACCTCCCCGGGCAGCCTGGGCCAAGGCCTGACAACCCCTGCAGTGAAAAACTCCTTCCTAAAGTCTGGTCTAACCCTCCCCTGGAGCAGCTCGGGGCCATTCCCTCTTGGCCGAGTTGTAGTTCTAGTCCAAAACCACCACCGGGGGGTGGGGGTTCCCCCCTCGGGGCA